AGATCTTCCTTTTTTTTTTTTTTTTTACTTTTATGTCCGACACCCTGGGTTACTTAGTTATATGAAGTTAGAATACATTTGAATAGAACCAAAGAACTTTGCCCTATAGAAGATGAACAGAATCTCACCATTATGCATATGAAACAAGATGCAGGACCACAATTGAGTGAAAATTTATGACTTATATTTACAGAGTCTGGCTGAAGAAGACGTGAAGCTAGGACACCTATACGCTGGCCAGCAGGACGACTGTTGGTACCGTACAATGATACGCCAAGCTGTGGGGCCAGAACTGTTTTCTGTGTACTACCCTGACCTGGGAGAGTTTAACGTCGTCGACACCAGTGAACTTCAGCCCCTCCCAATTCAGTTCTGGGCACTTCCCTTCCAGGCGTTTAAAGCTAAACTTGATGGTAAGTTTTAAGCATCTGGTTCAAATTAAAGGATCGGAGACGATTAGGACTACAATTTGCCCAAAAATAAAATTCATTCAGATTTATAATATATATTCTTACAAGTAGTTTGGGCTGGAATGGGGCGTAGTCTGTTTCTGGCAGTAAAACCCTGCTGCTTCACCCTTTGCTGCTATATGTAATTTTTACATTCTGTATGCTTGGACCCAATGACATTCATTTTTGAAAACACAGGTGACCTCGTCACTACGTATTGATGGTTTGATACAATACCATGACGTAGCACAGGGCGTACTTGGTTCACGTCTGCCGTGAAACAGCTCCAATGTAGATTTGCTATGCTATTCATGGGAGGCTGGGATTCGAAATTGTACAAATGGTTGGTCTGACCCCCCATGGGGGCTGAGGTGCGGGGCCAAAAGGGGGCAATTTGGTTATATTGCTATAGACGACTTCTGTAGAACTATGCACTGGATATCGATCATACTTGGTCGGAAGCATTCATGGGAGGCATGGATTCAAAATTGTACAAATGGTGGGGCAGACCCCCTGGGCTAAAGTGTGGGGCCAAAAAAAGTGTATTACTTGGAAATGGTTGAGATCTCCACCGTATAACCATATATACAATTGCTGAGTCTAAAGAGAAGAATGCACATTTGCTTCAAGGATGGCTCTAGGGTCTGGCCCCACCCTTGAAGACATAGTCCCTGGGTCATAACTTTAAAACCGTTGAGATCCCCACCCCAAAACTATGTATACAAATGCTGGGCATAAAGAGACGAATGCAGTCATGATATTAGAATAGACCCTGGGGTCTGACTAAACCCCAAGGGACCTAGTTTCTTAGTCACAGCTTGGAAACAGTCAAGATCCCCACCCTATAACCACATATGCAATTGCTGAGTATAAAGAGATGAATGCACATATGCTTCCATTATGGCCTTGGGGTTTGCCCCACCCTTGGAGACTTAACCCCTGGGTCATAACTATGAAATGGTTAAGATCCCCACACCAAAACTATATATACAATTGTTGGACATAAAGAGACGAATGCAGTCATGATATTAGAACTGACCCCAGGGTCTGCCCACCCTTGCAGACTTAACCCCTGGGTCATACCTTTGAAACAGTTGAGATCCCCACACTAAAACTAAAAATACAAATGCTGGGCAAAAAGAGACGAATGCAGTCATGATATTAGAATTGATCCTGGGGTCTGGCCACAACCCTATGAATCTAGTTTCTGAGTCACAGTTTAGAAACAGTTGAGATCCCCAACCTATAACCATACATAAAATAGCTGGGCATGAAAAATCGAATACAGATATGCTACAAGGATTGGCCTTGGGGTCTGGTATATTCCCCTGGATCTCACTTGGAGAATATTTTGTCATGATTGCTTAGATATCCAGGTGAGCGATACAGGCCCTCTGGGCCTTTTGTTTGAGGTGGGGATCTGTTGAAGAAATTGAAAGAATTAGGGTGAAGTGATATCAGCTGAGGCTGGTAGCAAATTATCGGCCCGGGTTGGTGTATATACGTAACTGGGCACTGATATGACAATGCAAACAACAGTTGTATCACATGCAAAATGTATATTATCAAAGACAAAAGTGTGATAAGAACCTTTTACAATCTTGATTGTGCATAGTGCCCTCTCTCCCCAATTAAAGGGCATTTTTGCTGTTTAATAGTTGGATTCATCATGAATTTTGTAGATCAATCTTAGGTATTTTTTCAAAATAATTTTATGAAGAATTTGTAAACATTACAAGTGATCTTTGCTTTATTGTAGCAATACGTCAAGCTAAACGGACTGGGTTTTGGAGCGAAGGAGCTATCTTCAAGATGAAAGAGCTGACTGAGGGCAAGAACCTGGTTGGACTGGTGAGAGGAGTGGATGAACATAAAGTTGTCTCCCTTTCACTGGTGGACACCTCGGATGAGAACATAGACGTTTGTGTAGGGGATGTGCTGGTCGAGTTAGGATTCGCTGAACCTTCCTGACTCCAAGTATACCTGTATACAGTGTAACACAAGATGGAGGACATCAGTATCCTGGGAGAATTGAAAGCAATGTCACAAGATATGAATTAGAAGTACATATGAATTTCAGTGCATTTTCTTACCGGTGACTCAAATTTTCACCTACAAATTAATATCTCTTTGTGATGCTATTTGCAAGTAATCCTAACCCCTTGTGCAGATGTTGCCTGCACCCATTATCCCGTTGCTTTTGGTCCCGAAGAATCCCGACTTTCTACCATGTTTTACCAGTGTAACTGGATACCTTACTGACAGCTCGACTGCTACCTTTATAATCCTGATTTTAACGATGATTAGTATGTAATGTATATATTGGGACGCTGTATCAAATGCTCTTCAGGAATACGATATACATTCTGTTATTATGCAAAAGTATGTAAACCAACATTAAGTTTGCCTGCTACATGATTTGTATGTTATCATTAAAAATGATTGCGTAAAACCTGGACACTTGTTTACTTGTTTGATGTGTTGCATTTTTAGCTCGCCTGGTCCGAAGGATGTCGTGATGCCATATATACTGCAGCGTTCGCGTCCGACTGTCTGTCAACTTTTCCTAAAAATCGCTACTAGTCATGAACGACTTAGCAGATTTTGACCAAATTTTGTCGGAAGCATCCTTGGGGGGGAAGGGATCAAATTTTGTATATACCGTGGGTCTGGCCCCCTGGGGGCTGAGGGGCAAGGCCCAATAGGGGAAATATAGCAAATTCTTTAAAATCCTTCTTCTTCTGTCGGAATGATAGGATTTGTTCCATATTTAGTCTGAAGTATCCTTGGGTGAAGGGGATCTAATTTTGAACAAACCATGTGTCTGAGGGGCGGGGTCTAATAAGGGAAACATACCAAATTATTCTTTAAAATCCTTCTTCTTTTGTAGGAATGAAAGGGTTGTTCCATATTAGGTCTGAAGCATCCTTGGGTAAAGGGGAACCAATTTTGTATAAACTGTGGGTCTGGCTTCCCAGGGGTATGAGGAGCAGGTCCAATAGGGAAAACATAGCAAATTATTCTTCAAAATCCTTCTTCTTCTGTAGAAATGAAAGGATTTTGTCCAAATCTGGTATGAAGCATCCTTGGGTGAAGGGGAACCAATTTGTATAAACGATGTGTCTGACCCTCCTGGAGAGGCAGGGCCCAATAATGGAAATAGAGGTAAAACCTTTAAAATCTTTCTTTGACCATCGGGATGAAGGGATTTTATCCTTATTTAGTCTGGACCAGAGCATCCTTGGGCCAAGGGGACTCAGTTTTGCATAATTGGTGGGTATGACCCCCACTAGGGGCAAAGGGATGGGGCTCTCTTCGAAGTTTATTCTCCCTATATCTCAAGTACTGGATGGATTCTTCTGAAATTTCATATGTGCTTTATCTTCACTTCATACCGATTATTTTAAACATATTCAGGTGAGCTATACAGGCCCTCTGGGCCTCTTATTGATGAGAAGGCTCATTGACTTTGCACATCTATGCTCATTATGCTCCCATATTGGAGTGGTTGAAAATATTAAATCCTGACTTAACTTTTGTGCGAACCAATCTCATCGATACCATAATTCTATGTAAAATATCAACATATATCTTTAGTTTGAATGTGTAAGCCTTAACAGGGTGACAGTAAATTGATTTATATGCTAAAAAAATTGACATTATTACACAATTTCTGCAACAGTAAAGACCCCCAAAAGATATGCAAGTATGCACATTTATATAGGCATGAATATTCCTATAATATAATTAGGCCAGCTAATAGATCTGAACGGATTGAGTAACTGTATCGGAGCATGGTGCTTGTTATGAATACATTTATAAAGGATATGTAGACATACATTGACCATCCTCGGTATCCAGGGGTTACGTACAGTTTCGCTCTCTGCACCCCTGGAATATGTCGGCAAAATCGAAGGCATATGGCTAGCAACATTATTTGATTGGTGTCGGGTAAAAAAAACACCTAACAAATCGCTTTGAAGATTACAGAAGAGTGACACCCGACATGAAAGCCAGTCAATTTTACAGTTACGGGACTGAGAGATTCTTTTGATGTACATCAAAGGATCAAAGCAGTGTTCTTGTCTCATCCAAAAGGAGGCACACACTGATTAATTGCCTCGATTTTGCTATGCAATACTCCAGGGGTGCAGAGACTTTCCACTTGTATGCTTTGTTTTACCATATAGTTATAACCCCAGTGAACACAAGTATTTAATGTGATTTTGATAAAGGATGGCTTGGCTAGCGTCTGGTGTGATCGAGACAAATAAATAGGTTCGTTTAAACTGTTGAAAATGTTATTTTATTGACTAAAACGTATTTATTCTACATCAGAAAGTTCTTGAATTCCTCTGGGTTGCGAGTTTATCAATGAATATTTAAAGTAGAAACATACCAGTACTATTTTTAAAATTGCAAATGTGCAGATTTTAAAGACCTCAGTTCATTTCAATGTTTCCTAACGCGCATCATTACACGTGTACTGAGAAAGATGAGTCACCTGTACTCAATTATTCACCTCGACAGGAATGGTTTGTTATACAGATGTCAAACGTTACAACAGCATCACAAATAAAATACTGGTATAGAACATAGAAATGTGAGGCCTTGTTTACATATAACCAAAGTAGTAAGCTTTCAGAAAGCTTACCTACAATCCATGTAGTAAACATCTGTAGGAAGAACATCATAATGTTTTATTGTGCCACGCTTGGTTTTGGTCATGAAAACAGCGGTCATTTGTGTAATCAGTTTCAATACCTTCAATATCAATCATTTCTATTTATGTGTCCAACACACATATGCACAATTACAAATGGAATAATATAATAATAAAACATACAAAAATGTTTCCAGCCATGAATGGCTTACATGATTAAAAGTTCATTTGTCTGTTATGTCCTAGTGCGTTTGTAGACTATCACTATACAATTGAAGTTATTTGACTAAGAAATCGATTCCAAAACTCTACCTATAGAGATTACCTGTGGAGTCATGATTAAGGTGTGACAATTCTACTGACCAAATACCAGTGTGTGGTTTATCATTCCCAACCAACCAGCTAACCAACCAACCAATCAATCAATCAATCCATATTTTTTATTAACATATCAAACACATAATTTACAATGACCTGGTGCACATGCGCGATGCTCCAGGAGTTACGCTCAGTAACGTTCTCTACAGATAGCGTAAGTGAGCCTAAACCCTGGATGATCGAGGAGGGGGTAAGCAATACAATACTAAAACGTTATGACAAGAACTCTCCTTTCCACATAAAATATAATTGACTTGATAGTAGTTTTTTCTATATATATATGGCTCGGACATGACCTTCCTTAACCCTTTCACCACTGTAGACCATAATGGACTCATCAATATCAATGCCTGGTAGAGTCTACTGAAGTTACATAGGGGTAAAAGAGTAAATTGCTCTTATAGATGTCAAACATTACAAAATGACTAGCCTTTTAGTATTTGGTTCATGTTACATACAAATTAGTGGAATATTGTTAATGCAATAACAAAAATAAATAAATAAATAAATTATAGAATCCTTTCCCCTGGAGTTCCGATGAGTCCTAGAAGGAGGAACCAGCTGTATGGTACCGTGCTGTTTATTTTTGGCATACAGTATCTATTATACAACACTTGAAGGGGCAATCACATACGGTGTTCGCATTGGTGATATCGCGTAGCTATTTAATTTGTACACGACTATTTTCATGAGATTAACAAAATAGTCCCAGGTTATATGTCTTAATGCATCTTAAGGTTCATGATAAAGTTCATGCAAACGGAAGTTGTGTCTTAGACAACGATTGATCACTATCTTGAATCTTTGTAGAAATTATTTAGCCAAGAAAACCCAGCAGCTAAAATCAAATATTTTCAACAACCAAATGAACGTTGTCTTCCCTCCCCGTCCAGCGGGTAGGTCAATCCCGTATTACATAGATAGTAGCTATATATATAGTGAACCAGAAAAAACATACTCTCTAGTAAGAAAAAATGAATTTCAATGCCTTAATGTTATTGATGATGCGCGTGCGTGCGAAAAGAAGAAATACATATTCATGTATTACCATTGTTAAATAAAGAATGGGTGAACTATTTAGATATGTGTACTATTTAACGTACATACAGGTGAGACCGTCGCCTCTGTTTACAGAACTAACTGTCCTGGAGTTTACGGGAGACACAAAGTCATCCCATTTAAATCGTATCGATCTGATGCTCTACAGTATCAAATCAGCACCGAGGAGACGAGTGTTCGACACTTCTAAACAATTGTAGAAACGCTATCATTCTTCCGTAAAAACATAGCATATCTAAAACATGTGTTACTTGTGTCAAACAAATTACAAAAAGAGATATACCTTGAAACTTCTGTCCATTGACATATAGGTATAATACAGTTTTCCTATTACATGTACTTGCATGTTAGATTGATGGTGAACCAACTTAACATTAATTTATGAAGTAGTGGGGGTGATGTATGTCATAAATTATATAAGATACGGAATGTATTTGCAGTAAACAATACATTTTTTAAAGGATATGATTTTTTCCCATCTCTTTTAGATCGTTTTCCGTCTTTTCGTATTGCAGAGTTATCTTCTCTTGGGAGCAGGTATTGATTGTTACGTCATCGGTTTTTGAGAGTAACGTCATCAATTTTTGAGAAAACGACGTACCTTTCTCACACAAACCAATAATGTAACAATCAATACCCGCTCACAAGAGAAGATAACTCTGCAATACGAAAAGACGGAATACTAGATATCCTAATTAGAATATCTAAAAGAGATGGAAAAAAATCATATCCTTTACAAAATGTATTGTTTACTGCAAGTACATTCCGTATCTTATATAATTTATGACATACATTATCGCCACTACTTCATAAAATAATGTTAAGTTGGCTTGCCGTCAATCTTACAATACGCAAAGACGGAATATACAATACAATGCATCTCATATAATGTATAACCTATCTGATATACAAATTTGATATGATATATTGTATCATTTATAAGATACACCATACATTATATAATATGTATGGATATTTGTTTATCACAAAGTTCCTAAATGGGAAATAACAAAATATACCAGTTTATCCATTCAATCCCCGACGAAGGGCTTAACCCTTGAGCTTGTACGTGGAGTGACAGTTGTTATTCATTAAACAAGATATATTCGTGATATATAAACCTTATAGATACCTTATATAGTATATAAGACGATTTATATATTGTTTATATAATTTCATTTAATACATGATCCATATTACTCTGTTAAGTTTATCTGCATTTAATATAAATATAAACTTTATTTATTTTATAACAATTATGAAACAAGTTAAATAACTTAATCACTCTTGTTGATCCGGATGTTAGCGCGCAGGGTGTCTTAATGACCTGCCAATTGGATTCGTTTTATCATACAACACTATAATTTAAAAACAGA